CCGATTTTTCTGAAGTTGAAAGTGCTGATATTGGCGTCACCTCGTCGACTGCAAACATTTTTTTGCAGCGTGTTGTTCCCCGTAAATTGTTTTCACACCATCCATTGTCGGGAATTTCATCATTTGATGAAGGGTCGATGGTACTGCTCTCATGTTGTGGATCCATGGCCTCCCGAGTAGTGAATTATATCTCATATTGCCTTTGATCGATGACATGGAATTTTGTATCTTGGATGATCATGGCCACGTTCACTGGTAGGATTATCTCTCCCTTTGTTGTTTCACTTGCCATGTTGAAGCCGTTTAGGACTCGAGAGGCTGGCATAATTTGGTCCTGTAGGCCGAGCTGCTCTACAACCCTCGATCTGATTATGTTTGCTGAGCTACCTGGATCCACTGGAACACGTTTAACTTGAATTTTATTTAACAAAATAGAAATTACCAGGGTGTCGTTGTGCGGCTGAGAAATGCCCTCGCTTCTTCGTCGTTGAATGATAGGATGCCTTCGGGCATATAACTCCGAGTTCACTTTTCTCTGGTGATTGACACCTTAGTACGTTTGAATATAGGTCCTTGTGGAACATCGACCCCGCCAACGATCATATAAATTACATGTTGTGGTTCTTCTTGCTCATTCTTTCTATTGGCGTCTCTTTCTCTGAAGTGATTCTTAGCTCGATCACTGAGAAACTCCCGAAGATGGCCTTTGTTGACCAATCGAGCTACCTCCTCCCTCAGCTGTCTGCAGTCTTCGGTCCTATGGCCATGTGTACCATGATATTTACACATCAAGTTTAGGTTTCTCTGAGAAGGATCGGTTTGTATAGGCCTAGGCTACCTGGTGTCTTTGATCCTCTCGATAGCCGATACAATCCCTGATGCATCGACACTGAAATTATACTCCGATAACCGAGGTGCTTCTACGGGATCAATATGTTTATCAAAACCATTCTTACTCATAAGTACCTGAGAGTTTTGCCCTCGATTATTTCTTCAATCATTCCGAGGAGGATTGCGCCCCGAACCATTGCTTCTTCGACCTGCAATATATGGTTGATAGCGCTCTCTGTTCGACCTCTGTTCCCTGTCAGTATCTCTCGAGGATTTAACTGCCAATCTATTTGGATGAACTGAACCTGAGGGGGCTCCCAGATGGTCGTCCTCAACTCTGATCTTCGATTGATAACGATTATGCACATCTCCCCAAGTTACAACTGGATACTCAATCAGATTTTGCTTCAATTGTCGTGACGCTATCGAACTCTGTTCATTCAACCCCTGTGTGAAAGCTTGAACGGCCCAATCATCCGTAATTGGAGGTAACTCCATTCGCTCCATTTGAAATCGGGACACGAACTCCCTCAGTATTTCGTTATCCTTTTGTCTTATCTTGAAAACGCCCGATTTTCTCGTTGCAACTTTTATGGCCCCAATGTGCGCCTTCACAAAAGAATCAGCTAACATGGCAAATGAATCGATGGAGTTCGGTGGCAAGTTATGATACCAAATCATTGCTCCCTTTGATAGAGTTTCCCCAATTTTTTTCAATAAAACTGATTCGATCTCATCATTTTCTAAGTCATTCCCTTTTATCCTGCACATGTACGTAGTGATATGTTCATTAGGATCGGTGGTCCTGTTGTATTTAGGTATATCCGGCATACGAAACTTCTTTGGAATGGGCTTCTGGGCCGCACTCTGAGAAAAAGGTTTCTGCATGAACTTTTTTGAATCCAAGCCCTTTAAGATCGGGGGTCCCTCGACAATCTGATCAACTCGGGAGTTATATGTCTCCACTTTCTTGTCATTATCTTCAATATTTTTCTCTCCTGACTCGATTCTTTTTGTGAGCTCCTCGAGCATTTTCATAATCATGGGATCAGTCCCCCATCCATTACCGTTTGATCTTTTTGGCACTGGCTCAGTTCGATGAGCAATTTCTGGTTCGACCACACTTGGAGTTTTATGTTGACTTTGAAGCTAAACGATAGCAACCTGTTGAGCCTGTAACATCTCGAATATTACTTGGAGACTAACTTCCCCGTCTCCTGCACCCTGAGTTCCTTGGCCACTAGTTTGGCCTTCCCTGCGCACACTTCCTCCAGGATTCGCCCCTACGTCCGCGTTCAAAGCAACGTGTGAACTAACATCAACTGGATCGACAATCGGCACTTACCCAGGGTTAATCGGTGGCACACCGGCTCCTGGAGCAGCTACATTATCGTTTTCCCCGTGAAATCCAAGACCACCATCGCCGTGTACGGGTACGTTTTGTGAGTTTGACATGTTTTAACCTGAGAACAAAAATTATTGAGAAGAACAAGTGTGAAAATAATGTATGTTATTAGAATCAGTATTGAAACAATCACTATTATCCTTAGCCTCACATTGGGTGCCAAACTGTTTACCCGTGAAATTCGAGTAACAATTAAATTTGTATTGAGGTCTTAAAGATACGTGATTTAGTCCAATACTAACTGATAACTAAGAAATCAAACGTATAAATTAAAGAAGTAAGCTGAATCAAACCAGTGTGCAAGCAAGTCTCGACCTCGAGTTAAGGTGGCCTCGAGGTAGATCAGTAAGAACAATAAAATAAGAACAGTAAAGTTAAAAGACAATTCTGATAAGTAATGAGCAAGAAAGTAAGAATGTATATTCTTTTGCCAATGATTGATGATTTTACAAATGAATGGGCTTCCCCTTATATAATAGGAGAGTCCTTTACAAGGTACATTTATATTTTTAGTAGGGAATCTCATTGGGACAACTGTCTAACCGCCTAGTACAAATTCGTACAAACCCGTACAAATCTATTCCGGAATTTACACCGTGATTTTAGGGACATTGCAGGAATCTTGTTCTTTCTGTTACAAACCCATAACGACATCATCTCGGGGTTGGTCATACTCGGCCTTGGTGCTTGTCGCATACTTCGTTTTTTGAGCCTTGTACTCCGTCATCGGGCTCGAGTTTGGTCCATCGGGCTCGAGCTTGGTTCATTCTGAACTCGGGCTCGAAACATCGCTTTGAGCCCGTGAAATAGGGCATACCTGATTTTGACTATATACACAGGATTCAAGTACATAAATACCATTAAAACAAATGTATATTCCATCTTAATATTATCATCATTTATAAAATAGCATATTAAGAAGACAAAATAGTTTCATCTTAGTTTAGTTTAAGTATTTAATATGAAAATGGAAAATGAGATTAAAAAAAGAAAAGAAAAAGATAACGCGTTCATTTAGGCCTCATTTGTTTTTTATGATTAAGACGTCTGAATCTGAATACACATCTGAATATCAAAATGTATATTAAGATTAAGCCATCTGAATCTGAATACACGTTTGAATATTAAGACGTGTTTTAAGATTTGATTATTAAATGATTAAGACTGTTTGTTTTTTAAACATCAGAATATATAGAATTTATCTTTATTTAAAAATTAATAAACATAAATTCAAATAAAATACTAATTAATATATTGGTAGTGGTGATGGCTAACGAAGGTGTTTGTAAGTGCTGACTTGAGGCGGTAGTTGATGGTGATTTTGATCGATGGCGGTAGTTCTGGATAGTAGCTAGTGGTGATTGGTAGCGATAGTGATTATGGTTGAGAATGGTGGTTGTGAGTGGTTGTGGTTGTGGTTGTGGTTGTGATTGAGAAATGTGATTGTGGGTGGTGGTAGTTTATAATGATGGACGGTGCGGCAATGATTATTGATGGTGATGGGGTGACTGGTAGTGGTAGTTGAGGTGGGTGAGTGTGTGGTTATGATCGAGGATGATGGTGGTGGTAGTGGTGGCGGCTATGGTTGAGGATGGTGGTGGTGGTGGTTGATAATGGTAGCCTCGACGGCAGTTAGCAATGAATATGGATGATATCATCTTAATGAAATTAAGTCTTTGTTATAGATCTTAATCATACAGACCTATTCAGACTCATGAAGTGGTTGTCAAATAAAAAAAGAAACACTTAGGGTTTGTTTGGTATGAAGGAAAGTTTTCCCATGTTTGGTTGATTTAAATGTTTTAGAAAACATTTTCTTCGTGAACTCATTTTCCTCCAATTGGAGGAAAATATTTTCCCTATCAAGAGAAGGGAAAATATTTTTCAAAACTCCTTCTCAACCTTCCCCACCTTATTCCCCATCCTCACCAACCTACCCCATACCTCACCCCACC